CAAGGTTCTTTTAGTTTTTGATATTGGTTTTGATATTGTAAGAATTTTTAATTGAAGAACCTACCAGTGATGGATAGTTGAGGAAAAAAGATAAAACAGTAAAATAATTGTAAATCGCTTTCCATCCTTTGGAATGGAATGGTTACCTCTCAACTTCCAACTCCAACCACCTGGGGTGGGAATATCTTGGTTAGTAATATTTGATGGGGGAGTAAGGAGTGATGTATTGAGTTACTATTAATTGAAGAAATATAGATCTTAATACCAGTTATGGAGAGTTGAAAAAAGTAGAAATATTATAAAAATCATAAATTGCTTTCTTACTACCCACTATTAATTGACAGAAAAAGTAATTAGAAGAAAAAGGGTAAATCAAACTTCAGTTGAAGTTGATGATTAATATTTTAAAATTTTAGGGATTTGATTTGTCTTATACCGGATACAGCTTATCCCGGTCATCAGATGGTTGCTTGCTTGCTGTGCTCAACACTTCATTTTGTTCTTCATCATCACTTGACTAAATCAAATCAACAATGGTTGGTCCTTTTTTTCTCACCGTTTCTGTGTTTCATGTTCAGTAAACTTGCTTCTTGCCTTCTTGCCAACACTCTCAATACCAGGCTGATGCTGTTTTTCTTTGTACGCATGTCAATTTGGTTTTCAGGATAAGAACTACAAAACCACCGTGGCAATAACTGAGGAAGAGAATTTTTAGGATAACTCTGGTTTACCTCATGTGAAGGTTGATTCCTCTGTGTCCTCATCTTCAGTTTCTGCAGCACGGTACAGGAGTCACCAAGCACCTGCCTAGTAATGGGCGATTTAGATTTTTTGCTGCTTTCTTACTGGGAATGATTCACCAACAATCAACAAGAATATAACTAATGTAAACATCTTGAATTATATTTCCAAATTAGATTTCAGGTTCTAAATTCAGTTTCTTTTAGAGTTAAAATGGGAAAACAGGGTTCATCTCCATTAATAAACAACTAAAGACAAACATTCTCAAATTAGACCTACAGGTTCAGTTAGCTAATTTTCAAGCTCTAGGAAATAAGAAAAATGGATGATAATCTGATTAACAACAACTGAACTACACCATTACAATAAGTATATATTGAATCTCCAAACAAGTTGTTCAGATAAAACACCATAAGCTACACATAGAAGAAAACATCGTAAGTTGATTAGTCTGAACAAATTCCTAATTGAAAAATCATAGTAGAAACATCATTAAAACAGGACATGAAATTGAGAAAGCAGAAATGACAGAAAGGTGAAACTAATGATTAGGCTTCAAAATGGCCATACACAGATGCAGCTTCCTATCGTTTTTCCAACTTTTCTCCTAAGCACAGCTTCAAATAATTAAACACCCAACCTGAGAATGCCAAAGGATTGAAAGTGCTCCTTGAATTCCTCGTTTGACAAGTTACCCCACCATGCTTGTTCCCCTTCGATCAACTTTAACCCTGCCGCATTTTCTCTGTTGAAAGGAAGTCTTTTCAGCTTTTTACACTGGTGTATCCGAAGCTCCTTTAACTTGGGCCATGCCAATGATTCATCTGCACATATAGTTTCTAATTTTTTTCATGTCAGCTAATTCCAAGACCTCGAGATTTCGCATTGCTCCACTGCTACTAAACTCTTGAATCAATTGCTCAATTCCATCACAGCTCTCAATTGTTAATCTTGTGAGTTTTGGCAGTTGTTGAATTAGGCCATTTGAGGATATCTCTGTCAACATAGGGCAACCTTTCACTGTTATTGTTTGCAATTCTGATAGACTTCCTTCTGACAATGGCCCCTCAAAAATGCTTTTCAAATCTAGCAAATTCCTTAAATGTAGTTGTTCCAAAGATGGAAGAATGTTTGTGCCTCCTGCATTATTTCCACCAACAATGGTTACCATGTTGCTACATCGTTCAACCAGGCAACCAACAACTCCATTGAGGCATGGTGCTTGCATGAAGTTTGAGAAACATAAAATGTTGTTGTGGCCAATCAATTCCAATGCATCTATCTCAGGAAACATATTAGAAATGGAGGAGCCAATATGATGTCCATCGTAGTCGTATCTCAAATATCTACCTATTGGATAACTGAAATGGTCAAGAATTTCAAGAGGATGACAGTTTTGGCAACCAATAAAAGACCAAAATGAGACTAGTTCTTCGCAACCCTGCCAATTTGGCCTGCTTTTCATCAAAGCACAAAGGACCTCTGGTTTTGGAAAGCATATCTTGAGAGAAGTTAACCTCTCCAAGGAAGCAACATGCTTGATAACATTTGTAGCCTCAATGTGCCATTGATCATAAGAGATCACATCAATTACTAGTTCCTCCAATTTGAAAAGCCATGAAATCACATTGTAATCTGTCTCCATTCCTTCATAGCCATTCATCATGGTTGGTTTATAGTATGAAACCCGTAAACACCTTAGTTGAACCAAGTTTCCAATAAAAGGTGGTATGAAGGTTACCTTGCAGCCGCGAATATCAAGCACCTCAAGAAGACTAAGTTGTCTCATTTGGAGAGGCAGGCGTGTTAGGCTGGTACAATCATTTAAAAAAAGTGCTTTAAGTCCTGTCATTTTTTCAAAGGACTGCGGCAGGGACATTATTCCAGTTTTGTACAAGTTGAGAACCAGAAGCTTCTGCATTTTTTCAAAAAATGATGGAGGAATTGCTCTCAAGTCAGGATTCCTTTGTAGAAGTAGTGACAACAACTTGCTGCATCTTGGAAAATTTGGCAAGTCCTCTAGTTTTGCATGTATCATAAAGATCCTTGTTGCTTGTTCCCAATCACTCACCCTTTGAGGAATAGGTGAAGTTCCAGTTTGATTTCCAATTAGAAATTTATTGTCAAGATCTTCTGAGGAAATATGAAGTGCAACTTGTCGCACCACATTGTTCACTTGGACATGTTCCATCCTTTTACCTGTTTGCAATAGGGACACATCTGTTAGATACCGCAATATGGCATACCCTCTATCACATGCAGTGCGGAAGCTCCTACTGTCATCAACATTGCCAAGGAACCTTTCAGCTACCCAGCACATCACCAAATAATCCGTCGATTGCATTGGCATGACAGGGCAATCCTTCTTGTTGCTGAAGATAAGGATTTTAGTAGTGTTATTTCGATTTCATTGGCACCCATCGAAGCCCAAAAGCTTAACAATGAAATTAAGTACAAAATTAGATTAATTTATCCTTAATTACTATTTAAGTAAGGTTAATCTATATTAATTCTTGATATATTCATGCTTTTTTGTTGTTGTTCATCACTTGAGAAGACCAAACCCTAGGACAAATCAAACTGTCAATAGCAAACAATACCTGTTGAACTTGTGGTCCACCAATAGAGATTGCAGCGAAAATCAATCCTTCTTGCTGTAGTTCCTCTAACTTTTTCAAATACTCTTTGAGCTTTTAACCCTTGATTGTCTAGTTGGTGAAAGAAGTAACGCTGACTTGTGTCGTCGTTTGTTTCTTTTTATATTTAGTTTTTGGACCAACTAAACCACTTAGTTTTTTTTATTGAAAATTGATTTAGGGATAATTTTTTATATAATTTGTTGGTACAATTTTATGTATTATTTAAATAATTAATTTTTTTATTTATATAAAATTAATAATATTGAGTTTATTTATTTATTTAATAATATATAAAAATTATATAAAAAATAATATTAAAAAATTATTTTTATATTATCATTTTTTTTATATAAATTTCTTCATCTATTAGAAGCCATGGTAGCATGACTAATTGACATCAATTAACCTATGTGGTGGTGATGGGAATAGAGTTAATGAAATGTTAACGGTTGTATCTGAACATTATAATTTGTTATTAATTATGGGTTATTTTTTTAATTTAAATAAATAAGAGTTTAAAAATATTATAATATAAAAAAAATAAAACTTATAAATTTTTTAAAATAAAAAACTCAAAGTTACCCTCCACAGCACCACAAAACAGCAAAACACTATCAGATAAAACACTCCCGGATAAAGCCTGTACCGCAATCAATTGTGAAGATTAATTAGCTTTTTTAATTTCTCTTTTATTTTTAGGTTAAAATTTCTTTTTTGTTCCATTTATTTTACCAAAAAAATTTCGTTTTAATGTCTTTATTTAAGAAAAATTTTCAATTATTAAAATTTATTATTTAATTTTTTTAATCATTTAATTATCATTTTACATAGTAATAAATTGGATAATAAAAATTTTAAAATTAAAAATTAAAAAAAAAACTCTTTTTAATCATCTATTTTAAAAAAAGGTTATTTTAATTTATTAATTTTGAAAATTTTATCATTTAACATGTTATATATATATAAAAAATAAAAAATAAAAATAAATTAAATAATAAAATTTAAAAATGAAAAAACAAATTTTTAATAAAATAATTAAAAAATATTTTATTAAAATAAAAGAACTAAAATAAAGTTTTAATTTAAAACAAATGCCACTTCGTCGAAGTTGCCTGAAGGACTTTTTCTAGCAAAGACCTCGATCAGTCAACGTCTACCATCTCTCGTAAACTGTGTCTACTTCAGATTGTTCCTTACCGATCTGCAGCACCGACTTCCATATTTCTCTGTGGCCGTCGATACACACCACCGGCGCCATCGACGGAGCTAAAGCCCTGCTGGTGAAAAACGCTATTGCATAAGTAATTTATTTTCTCTCTCTTAATTTTCTTCTAATACTAATCTTGTTCAATCTTCTCCAGTTTATTTCAAGATCTCATGCCCATAGCCATGTAAAACTTGAAGAGCTCCTCCATCTCACAGACAGGTTTGTTTGTCTCTTGCTTCTATACTGAGCATTAATTATTTCTAATAAAAACTCAGGAAAAAGAGATTCCTAGGCACCGAAATTGCGTGAGTGTTTTGTTGGATGAAAATTGTTTATTTTCATTTTAAATTTTAAAACGTAAAACATACTCTCTTAACAATTTATTTAAATTTAAAAGATTATTTAGGGTTTGAAATTGAGGGTTTTAAGCCACGCTAGTGACATTTGCTCTAAATTTTGATTTTAAAAGTTAAATTTACTTATAAATAAATGTTATTTAGTAAATTAGGCCTAGATTCTTGAGATTTGCAAAAAGAAAAATAATTTTCTAAGCATCAAAAAAATTGAGGATTTTAAGCTTTAGGCTTTTTTTAATATAACTTGGTTTTTGATTTAATTTTGATTTTTATAAATTTTATAATTATATTAAAAAATAAAAATAAAAATAAAAAATGAATAATTTGTTTAAAATAAAATTTAATATTAACAACTAAAAACATAATGGAAGGAAAAGAACTAATACCAACTAAAGGAGATTAAGGAACCCGTTTTCAACCTTCCAATTCCAACCCAATACAATAAACATTTTTTCTTCAACTTTTGAAAAATTTTCAAAAAGTATTCTAAATTCTTGAAAAAATTAAATATCCCTATATTTTTGTATTTTACTTTCCAATTTTCTTTAGTAGAATGACAATTTTTCTTCTCCCTTTAACAATTATTTTGAATAGAAAATATATTTTTTTAGTTATATAGTAAATTAATAATAATTTTTATTGCAAGATATAGGAAATCACTAATTTCTCACAAGTAAAATAGCTTTTATTTTTTTGTATTTATTTGACATGACTATCGATATACAACCTGATTTTTAGAGATTTGTGACATAATCCCCAACTAAAGGCTGCATCATAAGATTAAATAGGAAATAATATGCTAATTTCTTAGAACATGTTAGTTTTATTATTTGATAATTGCTTTGAAAAGAGTTTTATATATTAATATGACCACTAAATTATACAAACTATTAATTAAAATTAATTTAATTATAATAAATTAACATTTTTTTTAAAGTGATGTATGAAAAAAGTATTATAAGAAAGCAACCCCAAACATATTCTTAATTTCACATCCTTAATTTCTTATTAAGGTTAAATTGTAATAGTTAATAAAACTATATTAGGGTGTTTTTAGTACCTAGGAGTTATTAATTTGCTAAATGTTATGAAACGACTTGTGTCATAAGCTTGTTATTGGCCTAACAACATTTTGAATCAAAATTTATGGGTTCTCAAAACCTTAATCTCAAGTTATTAATAGTGATTGGTCGTTTATATATCAGACCCACTCATATTTCTCCACTGATATAAGATTTAAGGTGTCATAATCTCCCCCATGTAAACACTTGATGTTCTTGTCAAAGACAAACACAATTAGAATGAGGTTCCCTGGGCCACAAGCATAAGATCTACCTTAAGTGATGTGGGGTTCACACTACCATCGGCTGTAATGATCAGCATTAACCTATGCTTATAAGAAGTGACCTTTCTAATACTAACTGAAATGACCTAGGGTGGAAACCTACCACTTACTTAGCAACTCTTCGGACTAAGATACTCAACCATTCAAAAAACTAAATTCAAGTTGTTAGTGGTGGATGGTTATTTATATATAAACTCACTCACACTTCCCCATCAATGTGAGATTCGGGGTATGTAATTAAAATTATGATTAAGATAATACTATATAGTGTTGAACTTGATCTATTCTTATTCCTATATCTCTATTTGTGCTTAATGAGTTACTCAATTTAATTGTCCTAGACAAATATTTTTTCCCTACTTTAACTCTATTGTTATCCATTTATTTTGATTAATTATTCTATCACAACAAATCTTACTTTATCTTTTAGTTTTTTCCTAAAATTAATATAGGTAAGTTCATGCCAAAATGAGCACGTTGTTCCGTAGAGACCCACATCTTTCTACAAATGCAGTTTGAAATGAGCTAGCTAAATCACCTAGTTGTAATCATGTTTGTAGTTGCTTTATAAATCACATTTGCACAAGTTATCTCAGGCAAATTGCAATATCTGTAGCATTTATCTCTATTAGTAGCTTCCCACTTTGAAAAGAATCATGAACTTCAGTAATAAGCAATTGTCCAAGCTCAAAGCTCCTATAAAAAATACTGCGGAAAACTCATTAGACCATAGAGCTTTCCCATTTGGTATTGAAAACATGACCTCTTGAATGTCATCTGTCACTTACACAGCCTCTGTCTTTGATCTTCTCCGACAACTGCCCCTCTTCCCATCACTGCACTAATTATCACAAGGTGCCACCCATGCTAATTGATTCCCAAGCAACTCCATGTATACCTCGCGAATTCTTGCTCGATATCTACCATATTTATGGACCTATCTACAACTGTATTATTCATGGCAGTAATTATATTTCTAGCCTTCCTCTCTTTTAACCTTAGCATGAAAATAAGAAGAATTGATATGACCGTGTTTAAGCCACTGCACTTTTGCTTTCTGCTTAACCAAACAAAATTCCGCCTGTAACAGATTCGTGTATTGCTCACATGTCACATGCTAGTTGTTATTCATTCTGTAAATCAATATTGCCAGGATCAATAAACAGGCTACTCTCTGTCTCCTCTTGATAAATTTTAGCCACCTGAATTCTTTCTGACAAGCAACTAAGGTGCTACTTAATTATGTTCAGACATTTGTCCAAACCTCTATTTTGAGACTGGTACCCAATGAAATTTTTTTGATTATCAGAAGAAAATTTTATAATATTGGAGTTCAAGGAGTTCTCCTGCTCATATACATCAGATACATCATATCCTATTATTACACAATTTAAACATTTATTGCTCTAGAACACAAATCCGAATAGATAATACAATCAGACAATGAGAACCCTCATCCATCTACTCCATCCTTTAACCACAAAAAGGATTTAGTTTGAATTACCTCCACTAATCTATCAACATCTATCTCCACCATATTAAAGATCACTTTATTTCTCAGCCCCCAAAGATGCCGCGTGACTGAGATGAACAAGAAGGACCAAATAGCTTACATTTTGTCATCATGCCATCCCTAAGTAAGTTGCCAAAAAGCCTCATTCACGCTACCGCTGTAACATCCTCTTTTGATAAACTAGAGGTCAACAAGTAGGGAGATGTACTGCACAACTAAGGAAAGAAAAACGCAGAAAATATCTATAAAATCAAAATGTTCATTTTATATACTATTTTCAGGCTCAATACAGTACAAAATAGGTTTAAAATTATAGAGTTAAATGGAAGTTTTGGGCAGATACAGATTTGCCTTACCGATATTGGAAGCACAGCTTATGGTTAACATAGAACCTCCACCCACAAAAAAAATTCTTAAGGGTAACAGCTACACTGCTACTATCTGAAATGGTGAGAAAAACACCATGAGCTCACAGCCCAGTAAGTATAATTCTAAATCTTAAGTTAAGTTGACAATTTAATTTTAGTATTTTATGCAGAAAAATTCCTTTGGTTCTTAGTTGTACCAACCTTGTGGAAAATTAAGGTATTGCAGTCACAAATGATCACACAAACACAGCACATCAAAATAAAAATATCACAAACTATGGAGTTCACTGAAGTGTGCATGCACTCACATTAGGTGCTAGAGCTAATCATAGCACTTACCTATTGCGCAGAGATCCGTTAGTTCACTGTTCAATCCCCCAAACCTAGGCTGGGGTCCAAACTCTCCATAGTTCTAAGACAATTACATCACGAAACCTCACATGGCACATAATCATGCATAACAGTTTCAATGTTTACTTATTATGGTCTGTAAAACTAATAAAAATAGGCTATAATGAAGTGCCCAGGTTAAATACATAGGACATAGTCCAGAAAAAGTAATACACAAAACATATTAAGCTCACAACTTGAACCGTAAAGATTTTACAGTTTCAGCATAAGAGATTTTTTTTTCAACTCACTACTGTATTTATTTTTCTATTCTGTTATATAATTTAAACTGCAGCAGCCTAATTTCCTATGCTTATTCTATGGTTTTACTTACCTCTAAACTTTGTTTGACAACTTTAACTTAAAATTAAGAATCACACTTACCACACTTTCTTCAAAATCTCGAACTTGGCAAAATTCTTCAATATTCCCCTAGTCTGCTCAATTTATCTACACCGTCCTTCTCCTTTTCCTTTGGTCCAGCTATAGGCAAAATACAAGAAATAACTAATCTAGTGATCTGGCTCAAAAGATCCGGTCAAGTGAGTCTTAAATGCTCCCCACTTGGCCCACTTTTCATCCAACTACCTGTTATTTATTTTAACAGGTCGTTGACAGCTGGACCATACTAAAGTCTCCTTAAGATAGACACTAGGACTGCAGTTTATTAAAATAACATGCAATCCCAAAATTAACAAATATTATAGATTAGTCCCTAATTTTAAATGAGATGAAGGACTCTAACTTTAGACTTACTGCAAATTGGGACCTATTTTCTTTAACTAATTGCAAATAAGGATTGGGATATCACAACCGCAAACTACTATATGAGTGCCCCACCAAGCTAAAATCTCCATCCACACATTGTAAGTAAATGGGCACTGCACAAATACTTAATCTGCATCTTCCACAGCTTTCCCACATAAAGAGCAGCTACCGTTATCACCATCCATGTTAATCCCTCTTGAACTCAAACTCCTCTTTGTTGGCAACCCATCCAGAAACAGTCTCCAAGCAGAAAAACTCACCTTTCCAATAAGAAAATTATTGCAAATTGCTTTGCATAAAACGGCATCCATAATCCTTTGATCAAAAGTCAAAATGCTATAGGCTTTTTTGGATGTGTACACTCCATTTCCATCAAATTTCCAAATCCTTTTATCCTCTTGTCCAGCCTGTATTCTCACGCCCTCTATCGACCCCAATAACTCCTTCCCCTCCTCTAATTCCCTCCTCAACAGAGTCCTTTTCCAATTAAATTTCCAGCGTCATTGGCCCTCCCTCCATTCCCCCATTTCCTGCACTACTCTCCTTATTAGATGTGACATATTTCAGTCTCGGACATATCTCCTCTATAACATGCCCCCTAGCCATCTATCTATCAAAAATCTCATCCTATTACCTTCCCCTAACTTCCACACAAAGCCATCTCCGATAACTTCTTTGGACACCTCTACATCTCTACCGATTCGTACAATATCTCCCCAATGAAATGATCCTTCGTTTAGTTTGAAAGATTAACTTTAATAAATGTTTTTATGCTAACCTGCTAAGAGTCCATCGTGAGTCCCACCGTGGGCACAAACCCTTTTCTTTTGTACTTGGGCTTCGTTTGTACAGCAGCGAAAGGTTTTTATTTTTATTATCTTTAAAATATATAAAATATTAATTAAAATTATTAAAAATTTATGAAAAAATTAATTAAGTTAATTAAATATTAAAATTTTATATTTTTAAATAAAATACTGTATAAAACATCTGTCAGAAGAATTGTTAAACGGTGCTCTAAGTTCGAAGGAAAAATCATTGCCAACCATTGTCGAAAAGGTTAAGGGGTGTTCGTGGTTTGGTAAGGCAAAAAAGGCAAATGAGCCCTTGTACCCATCAAATGGTAGCAAATCAGCCTTTCAACTAAAAATGGACGCAAATTAGCCCTCAACTCATCTTATGGTAGCAGTTCAGCCCTTATCTCACATTCTCACGGCTGATGTTAGAAAAGCGTTAAACTCTAATCGAAGGGGGTGATATAAGAATAATTTTTTGTATTATTTTTGCTTAAAACTGTTTTACATATAATTTATCTTATAAAATTATTTAAATATTCTTGATAAAATAATATAAAAACAAATTTAAAGGTATTTAAGTAATGTTACAAGATGGATGGCATACAGTTTATTCCGTAAAATAGTTTTTATTTATTTTTATATATAATTGTTACATGTTATTAAATGAGTGGATGCATTTAATATTATGAGTCTCAAATAAATAAAAAAGTAAATTATTTAAATGATACGTAAGGTTGTATAAAATAATAATATAAAAAAATTATTTCTAAATTATTTTTCCTAACAGAAAGATGGTTCTGCTGGGCCCACTGCTTACATGGCAGTGAGTCAGAATTTTTTTCCGACGTGGCAACGGGTGCTTAGGAGTATTAAACATTTAAATTACAAAAGCAAAATAAAAAAAAAATGTTTTAGGACAATCTTTTTGTATTATTATTTTTATTTTTTTTACAACTTTAGATATTATTTGAAATATGTGATATTGAGTGATTTAATAATATATAAAAAAAATTTATAAAAATTAATTAAAAAATTATTTTCATAGTATTGCTCAATAAAAAATATGTAAATTACAAAAATGGAAAATGGGCCTTCGGCCTATTTTGGTATAGTGGTTTTGGGGTAGTGGTTAGCGGTTTTACTTAAACCGCTAAATATAAGTGTT